TTACCTATTAGAGATGACCGATATGGTTATTTTTGAATATCCGTGATATCATCTGATACTGTTACTTTCTAATATCAGTGATTTGAAAGCGTGACATAATCACGACTCATCGAATAACGATGGCAGACTTTCGCTGATCTGTCGTAGGGAATGGATCACACCGAAACCGATCAGATGCAGTAATATGTAAAGGTTTTGAGTGGTATATTATATCGTTCTGTGTAGTGACGGACAGGAAGTGGCATTTTTAAAGATACTTCTCTAAGATGCACAATTGATCTTACACGTACCTATTGTGAGTGATTTATAATTTGGGTAGCTAACTGAATCATCATCTCTTGCTCTCAGTAATCTATAAGAACAAAAAGATGGGTTTTGGTCATTACCCAATAATTGATATTCTGAGTAAAATATCGCGATAAAATCTGACGCTCGAACCATGTGGTAATTCGACGGTAATATACGATTTTCGACTTTCGCGGCTAGCGCGTATGTGAATCTCATGCACATTCATACATTCTTTTATCACACATCTTCATGATCATGTGATACCATTCGCCATTGCCGTAAAGTGCCTAGTTCCCAAAGTCGTGATCAGATCACGATATTGAGTAATAGTCGCGGTTCGTAATTAAAAAATATCAGTTACAGAATCACAGTTCGTCAAATATCTCCCGCCATTATTACCTATAATGCATTACATTATTCTAAACATAGTAATGTTTGTTGTCAGTGGTAATACTAGATACATTCATAAATATTTCTTATTTCTTTCCCAAGGTAAAACATTGGGACTTTTCATTTTAAGAGTTTATTTATGCACGCGATTTGTGCGACATTTTGTATTGTGTTATTCCTGCACCATCTGGCTCATAGTCATAGTCAACGGCAGTGGCAACTGATGTAGACACCGATTGTCGACATGACATCACTACGGTTATCAGTCTGACATCTGTCGGCAGCCCTTAAGGCTAAATTCGAAAGACATGGTCTAGAAATCACGAAATAAGAGATGACGTAAGACTCCATCAAACCGCGGGATTTTGTCCTAAGGCGTTAGCAAATTAATGATACATATTTTCTTTTAAGGATCTACATACAACTTTCGCTCATTATTGTATGCTTTTAAACTAGACTCGTAAAATACATATAGCAGATACGGTAGTTTATTTTCAGCTGGTTTGTCTACCTGAATGAAACAGCTGGGTGTCAACAGCAGCATTTTCTCCTAGGAAATGCAGCATTAAGCAGCGTTTAACAGATTAGACGCTGATAATAGTATATGATAAATTGCTTTAATATAATTGACGAACATAATTGTATTATTATGAGGCAAACAAAAACAAAAAACAAACGATTTAATCTTTATGGCGATATTTTTTTTAAACATCTTGAAGCATCTACGGACACGTGTAGACAAAGGAGTAGACAGAGTCATAAAATATGGGTAATGGGAAATTGTAGAAAAGATCCAGTAGAAAAACAAATCTGAAGTCTGAATGTTCGGGAATGACCGCAAAACAGGGAGAGTCTGAAGCAAAAGCATGGAACGAAAGTGAAACGTCCATCTGAAGCACACTTGGCCTGACACTCCTCCAGCTAAAAGAGTGATTTATTCCCTGTTACAGAACGGCAAAGAACGCCAAAATATTTGTTAGTCAGAAATTTGAAGATTGTCGTTGAACTTTGATACACCCCGTATAATACTGCATCCGACACAATGTGCATAATATTGAGCCAATAGAAATTCCTTCAGTGATTAAATTTTTGGCAGGGCTTGCTAACATGGCTACCGACTAGAGTCGCGGTAGGTATAATTCATGTATTTTACATACATTTGCAACCCTATTAAATCCATACCCCAGTAGAACAGGCAAGGTTACAGAAGGTTTTCAGTCGTATTTTTGGGATTCGAAAGTGGAGATTTTTGCCATGAGTGAGGTGACAATTTATAAAAAGTCATATTTGGGTCATTTTTCTATGAGTTAACGTATCGACACCTCTGTTTGTAGTTTCCATTTTCTCTGTGTAGTCTCAGCGACTGCTATACCGAGATATATGCGGGTTGTGATAAGTGATGATGCATTTTCTGAATTAGTTCGGGTATGAGGATATGTGTAACTCAATACTTTGCGAGTGATTCAAAACCTTGAGAGGTAGAACTTCAAGCTTAAGGCAGCTCAGAATTCCTCGCATGAGGAGCACTTGATTTTTCATTCCTAAAAATCACTACGTCATTAGAAGATTAGGCAAAAAGCGCTTTTTACTTTTTGTGAATATTTTGAGGTACTGCTTTTCCAGTTTGTAGCTTCTCAAATTATCAGTGAGCTCTCCAATATTTACCTAGTCAGTCTTAAAGAGCTTATAGTTTTTTACTGGAGTGTTTATCATATGACAATCCTTTGACGATAAGAGCAGCGGAAAAGCTAGACTCAAGGTACCTAAAACATTCGTCGCTATATATAAATGTACGAAAGGAAATATGTAGGTCTGGCAGAAAAGATAATGGATAGAAATCGTTTATGAACGTGCGGTCAACATTGTGATAATTGTTAATTGGTCTGCAGTGTTTGTATTGTAGTGTTGGAGGATGTTTTTTGAACTTGAGGATAGCTAGCGGTGAGAAATGTGTAAGTAGATTTCTTTATCTTTAACGATGATGAAACTTAATCCTATATGTATATTCTAATGCATTTTCGATTGATTGCTCGTAACGGCTTATAGAATTTCCAAGATGGTGCTTGGGTTTGATCAAAAATGAAAGAGATGCCTAAAATTTTACGCGGTCAAGACGAATTGTTTCCAAAAAGTTTGAATGAAATTGAATGTTATCGACACGTTCGACTTTGATGAGGTAATAAATATTAAGAATATACAGGGTGACTTCGAAGTTGAGTCATTTATTTTAACAGTGAGTAGATCTGATCAAAAGAAATGTTTTTTCCTTTACCATTTTTCTGGTAAAATTAAAGTAACAAAGTTATAGCCCCTTGGAAGTTTGAGTACCGCCCTGTCTCAATAATAATATTATGTGCTCGTGTTTGGCGACAACGGATATAATCGGCCGTATCGGTTCATCGCATCGGAAACAAAAAAGCGAAAGAATTTGGAACGATGTTTTTACAATTATTTTATTCATTTGTATACAGTCAGTGTCAGTGAATAGTAGTGTCTGTTGCGTGGCTCAAACGAAATAAAAAATGGCACATGTTTATGCGGATCGGTTTCCCAATCGAGTGCAACCAACCCCTCGTGCCTTTGTTAATGTAGTACAACGGGCTCGTGAATCAGGTGACGGCATGCCGGTGCTCCAAGACCTCACGATCAAATACAGGTCCGCACTGAAATACTTGTCGGGAGGATACTTTATAAAACAAGGTAAAAAATTTTTTTTAATTTTTTTTATTTTTACACACATATTTTGGTTTATCTTCCTTCTACAATCATTATCTGAAAATTAATGACTCAACGTCAAAGTCACCCTGTATATCAGTTTACTTTGGATGCATCAAAGGCATCTGTTTTGCTTATATTATGTCAAGTGGCTAGATATATAAAGTGGTGAGATTATTCGTAAACTTTTTGGTCAGTAACATTAGTCAGTGAGATAGAACTCGCTTGCCTTGCCATACGGGTAATTACATTATCATGAAAGGTGACATTATGTCGATTTTTTTTTGAAATTGTATTGGTCTTTTGTGACATTATGTAGGTTTTCCTACAAGATGTTAACTTAGTACTAGCTGATGGACATGTTCTGAACTCGTGTTGTAGTTTTACGTGTTCTAAACATTCAATGTGTGGCTCTGATGTGATGTGTAACTTGCTTCAGAGAATGGTGCATAATGAGGATTTGTGTGCTAATAATATGTGTATAATTCTATTGGATTCTTGTTTCAAATACACTTACTTGAGATTCAAAGAAAGAAATTAGTTGCGCATCCATTTTTTCTTATCCAATCTGAAAGTTACATATGCGAATTTGCTGAATATGAGAGAGATTAAAAATAAATATATTCACTGTACAATGTCGAATTACAAGTCATACACATGCTAACAGTAATTACACACAACGCGGGCGCGGTGGTGATTTCCCATAATTCTCCTCAAAGTTTTTGAAAACACAAAAAAAAACGTAAGTAATCGTAATTTATAACTTTGAACATAACTTGTCATCAGAAAGGGCAACTTATATATAACCCATCGGGCACAGCTAATAGATATACTTCATTATCATTATCATCTTATACACATGCAAACCAATATTCATAATGCGATCTTGCTATTCAACCAACATACTTCTCAGAGATGAAAACTACAGACTACTCGGCTTCAGAAAACATATGCAACCAACAATGCGTATAGTTGAGTCATTCCTCCATAGATCGACGCACACAACGATCCTAGTGAGCAAACGTGGAATGACTGCTTGCACCCTGAAAACTACCTAGTCTGCAAGATGACATTTTATAGGTTTGTATAGGTTTTTTATTCGTATGACACATTACAATGCCAGGATTGAGATATAGTAACATCAGTAACAATCTTTACCATGCTATTACCATCATTTTTCCGTCGTATACAGTTACAATGATATTTAAGGTGCATTATTTATATTTCCACTAAATAAATGTTTTTCAGAAACTGGGCAGAAACTATCGAATTAAATCTATTCAAATCGCTAAAAGTGAATTGGGCTTGAAATCTCATCTTTCCGAATGTCAGCAGTAATCTTAGAATTTACCTTCTATCTCTCAAATTATTATATCATTGTACGTTATCCATGCCGATATTTGATTTGAGTTATAATTATTATATCATCAAAAAATGATTTGTTAAATGCTATGATGAAGGGATATAACAGAGTATATAACCCTCTGTAGGTCATAAAGCCGTGCCGAAACCAAACTTCATTTTGACATTGTGTGACCATTACGCGAAGTATTCAAATTAGCTGTCGATTGCAGTCAATATATTTTTCGACTACCTATTCATAAATTATGGCGCGAAATCAAATCATTATCAAGCCGACCAAAAAGTCATCAGCCAAAGTCACGAAAACCAGAAAAAAGTACGATACAGCAGCCAGCAAGAGACAGTTGAGAAGCTTCGCGATCGACATCTATAAAGTTCTGAAGCAAGTCCATCCGAAAGGAAGTATCTCAAGTCAAGCAATAGGTGTGATGAACTCCTTCGTGGATGATCTCTTCGAAAGGGTGGCTGTGGAAGCTGCTCATCTGGCACGATACAGGAAGAAGACTGAAATCACCGACGAAGATATTCAGTTAGCAATCAGATTGCTGTTGCCCCCAGGGCTTGCAAAAAATGTAACTTTTGAAGCCTCTAGAGCTGTCACGAGTTACAGGAAGCTTGAATAATTTTTTATCCGTCGTGTTCTATCTATTCTCCGGAAATAAAAACTTGATTTGATCAATGGTCTGTTTATAGTTGAGTGGTTAGTCGATTGAACATTTTTCCTGATACGATGATAGTTTCACCATGTAGGCAGTTGCCATCTATTTAGATAAAATGGTTTTTTGGATTTAGAACTATTATCTGGCCTGTAATACTGAAACGAAATTGAAATGTAAGATGGGACCAGTGATGGGCGGTTACGCGTTTACATTAATTGTCTACGTCTCGATGTATACAATGCATACAATGCGTATACAATGTATACATTGCGTATACAATTAATACAATGTATACCATGATGAAGACAATATATTATAGAATAGCATGAATGAGGTTAGGGTTATTCGCAAACGTCAGTTTTAAGTTAACCGACAACTTTAAGAAATATCGTTGGACGCCCCAAGGACAAAGAAATCGATTAACTGGGGTTCATTTGTTGTTCCTAATTTATTTAAAACTGTATCTTTGTATAGGAATATATAAATAAACATTATATATTTTTCCATTATTTATAAACTGCTTTCACAGTTAAAATAATGCAATGTTGCAGAACTTGTACCTATCCTGAACTTTCAGTTCCACTTAAAATCGGAGAACCATTAGGATCGATCTGGAATTGATCCTAAACAGTTTCGATAGAAATGTGTATTTGAGAGCAGAAAACACGGCGTTGCAGCAAGTTACAGTCGTGTTTTATGGCCTTCATCACTGCTGTGCTAGGCAACCTGGTATTTGGCGCACTCTTTCGACACAAGTAGTGCCCGCTTCTCCCCCTCTCTCTCTTCCTCGTACACATGGAAATCTTAAACGGAAAGGGAACTTTCGCCACCACTGTATGCAAGTAGTTGAACTAGGATTTGCTATTGTATACATTGTATACGTGAATATTGAGACATACAGGTATATGTTCATCATTGTATACGCGTATACAATGGTGTATTATACATGATGTATACAATGCGTCCATCACTGGCTGGGACCAAAGCGCTAATAACTCTTTTATATAACTGCTGTTGGTAAATTGTGAATATGTAATCTTTCCGCGCTCTCACAGTGAAAGGGCTATAACTAGCCTCCGGTAGCTCAGTTAGAGGCATGAAGCTCCGAAAACTTATGGCAAAAGTTGACGATGGCATCGTGAGGGGAGAGAAAGGCAGAATAGAACATATTCCAGTTTTACAAATTTTATTACCTAAGAACCTAACTATCACATACAATTAAAAACTACTAATTACATTCAAAATGGTCATTAATTTTTGGCGGGCAAACTATACTAAGTGACATATAAATCCGAACACCCAGTTTAAATGGTTTTATTTTAATAAAAGTTGGTGAATGTATTTATCTTACTGTAAATAACAAGTGAAAAAATTTTCAGCCTTATCAGTTGGATATTCCGGTTTTTATACTGCTTTTTTTTAATTCACTAACGCTCTAAAAATGAATATTTCAGCCGCAGTAAAGAATCAACGTTGGCGGATTTTGGTTCTTGACATCCTTTACGATCGGTTACGATGCCTAGAGTACGGAGACCTGTACGATTTCGTCAAGTTAGTGAGTTTGATAGGGGCCGTATAGTGGGACTTCGGGAAGCTGGACTTTCTTTTCGGGCAATTGCAGTTAGAGTGCAAAGAAGTGTAGACACTGTGGTTAGGTGTTGTCAGGCATGGCTTCGAGAAGGCCGTACGCAAAGAGCAAGGGGCACTGGACGCCGCCGTAGAACAACAGACCGTGAATATCGCCGCCTAAGATTATTGGCCTTAAGGGACCGTTTCTCCACTACCAGGTCCATTGCAAATGAATGGTTTGCAGAACACGGAAGACCTATTGGCATGCGAAGTGTTTACCGACGAACGAGAAGTTCTGGCTTGCTTTCATACCGGCCACACTGGGTCCTCCCTTTAACTCGAGAACACCGACGTAATCGCCTTGAGTGGTGCAGACAACGGTCACTCTGGGATCAGGAATGGAACAGTATTGTCTTTAGTGACGAGTCTCGATTTTGTTTAGGCATGCACGATGGTCGTGCCAGGGTTAGAGAGCGACGTGGTGAAAGGAGGAATCCACAGTTTTTTGTTGAAAGACATGTTCATCACACTGTTGGAGTTATGGTTTGGGGTGCTATAGCTTATGGTTCTACGTCACCTTTAGTCTTCATCAGAGGTAACATGAACGCGCAGCGTTATATCCACGAAGTTCTAGAACCCCATCTTTTACCCTATCTTTACACCCTGGCAGATCCAACTTTCCAACAAGATAATGCCCGACCACATGTTGCAAGAGTCACAATAGACTTCTTTCAACATAATGATGTCACATCGTTACCATGGACACCAAGATCTCCCGACTTATCCCCAATTGAGCACGTGTGGGATATGATGGGTAGGATATTGCTCAATTTGCAACGTCCTCCTCAGACTCTAGAAGCACTTCGAGAGGGGTTGGTGGTTGCCTGGAATGAGATATCACAGGAGGACATTGACCACCTGATCAGAATCATGCATAGGCGCGTTGGACAATGCGTAGCACATCAGGGTGTATCCACACATTATTAAAGGTCAAAGGGCTTTAAAGCAGTGCAATCATTTTGAAATTTTAATCGTTTACTTATTATGCTTCACTAAGTACTTATACAAAATTTTATTAAAATAAAACCATTTAAACTGGGTGTTCGGATTTATATGTCACTTAGTATATGTATGTATATTAAACTTAATATGACTCCTTTTTGCAAGACAAGTGAGATTGGTATCAATGAATAAATCAATCAATCAATGAAGCTGTCGATCAATCAATTAATCCGCGTTCTAATTAGTCAATTTTATTGATCCTTAATAATGAATCTATACCATTGAAGTGAAATAGTTTAATGTGAACACCCGTTCAACCATATTGCTCTATTAATTTGCACAGTGTGTTCAAATTTACCATTCAATTCTATGTTCAAATGCATAGATTCATTATTATTGATTAATACGATTGACTAATGAGAATCCACATTAACTCAATCAATCGATGATTCGATTAACCATCTAATCAATCAAACAATCAATCAAATATTCAATCAAACGATCAATCAAACAATTGATCAAACAATCGATCAAACAATCAATCAAACAATCAGTCAAACAATCAATCAAACAATCAATCAAACAATCAATCAAGCAGTCAATCAGACAATCAATCAAACAATCAATCAAGCAATCAGTCAAACAACCAATCAAACAATCAATCAAACATTCAGTCAAACAATCAACCAAACAATCAATCAAACAATCAATCAAACAATCAATCAAACAATCAACCAAACAATCAGTCAAACAACCAATCAAACAATCAATCAAACAATCAATCAATCAAACCATCAACCAAACAATCAATCAAATAATCAATCAAACAATCGATCAAACAATCAAAATTAGACAGTCCATCAATCCCGAATATTTGTTCTAGCATCCGATTGATGTAAGGTGGCAGAAGGCGGAGTGCTAAGACCGAAAAAGTTCTTGGTACATATTTGCCTCTAGTCCTTGTAGAAGGTGCAATCCATTGTCTTGACTTTTCCTTTGATGCCTCACTTCGAGAGCGTGACGTTAGGATAAGAAAATAACCTCAAGAGAGGGGTTCCAGTCTTCGTCTTAATTTTTTAAAATAATATGTAATCCGCCATATCTGCCCTGTGCGATAAGAAAACCGATCGTTCCACTTGTCTTGTGTGTTCCGTATGGTGACGTGCGAATGGTACCGAGTGATTCTGCTTGACAAAATTTTCTTCACTCATAGCACCACTGCATTTAGACTGTATCGCTTCATTGAACATGGGCTGTGCTCTACATACATATGTATTACGATCACGAACGTCGTGGTACAGCGCTGAAACATTATTTTATCTTTGAAACTTTTCAGAGTAGTTCAGCGGAAGTAGATAGCATGAAGTAGATTGCGGTTTTATAAATACATCATCTGGAAACAACATCACAGTAAATGCACGTAAACAAAGTAATGCCTATATTTCCGTAAAATTTGTAGCTAAGAACTGCGAATGCACATCACCTTGAAAATAACACGTTTAATTCCATTGATGTTATACAAACTCTTAAAATCAGATACACCATACAAAAATAGTGAGTATAGCTGTGAAACATGCTACTAAAATCATGACAGAACAAACATAATAATATAATTACAATAGCTTTGAAACACTAATTGTTTATTCCAGAGACGAATTATTTAAACAATTGTTTTTGCCCAAGAGATGGGATGGGATGGGATCTTACAAGAGTGAAATAGATTTTTGAAGGTTTTAACTTCAAGAATTTTTGCAAGAAATTAATTATTTGTTTCAAAATTGTAGCCACTTTTATAATTATAATCTAATCATTTACAATTACTTCGTTATCTTTGCAAATTGTGCAAGCAAAATACCGAATTTCGGGCTTATCCGAACGTTTATAAAAAGCAACGCATGTATCTTTTTATGTATTTGTCATTAGAAACTTTTTTCCGTTTTTTCTTATCTAGCCTGGACTATCAGTCTTACAAATTCCTGTGCTCAGATTGTCTATACCTGAAAACAAATACATGGGAATCAAGTTATTTAATAAACTGATTTGTGTAATTGTTTGAACTATTATGATTTTATAAATGATTCTATGTGTTACGTGAATACTTACAGTTTATATGCTGTATCTTGTATTTAAGCGTTTGTTAATGTGAAATCTTCATTTAGTTGTTACTCTTGGTATAAAACCGTTGACGCATTCTTTATCACGTATATGATTTCCGAATAGAGATTATTACATACAAAGAAAATGAAAGAATACTATATCTTGAAGCCATGTGAATAAGGTGTTGAAATATTATGAAACAAGGGTCACTGTCTTTATTTCATCTCACAGTGTGTGCGTTCAGCGCCTTTGGCTGATGTGGTATGACACCTCCGCTTTATGCAACAGCAGCGTTA